GCTTACTACTTTGTGGGGGTGCATCATGAAGAGGTGCAAACGCTACCCATGAAGACTGTTGGAAGCGGGAGACGCTGCCAGGTACCACTCAGCAGTGGGCTCGGGCCGGGCTCGGGGATTTATCTTCACGTCGACAGCCGCGATATCCAATAATCGGTCAAGGAGCTCGCGCGGCAAATGGCTGCGCCAAGGCGCTGCGACATGAATCAACCCATGATGCTCGGAAGGTACCTGCAGCAACAACCTTCCTTGGTACGGGTCACGATTCTGGACCCAGAGGCGCACGATGGACCCCTTCGGCTGGATGTTTTCTGCGACAGCGATTGGGAAGGATGCGTGGAGACTCGCAGGTCTACGGATTGCCACGTCGTCGTCCTTGGTGGCGCGGTGGTGATTACCTCCACGCAAACCCAACCGGGAGTGCCAGCAAAGCAGCCCGGACGCAGAGCCGAGGGCCTGCAGAGAGGCCATTCTCGTGCATGGTGGAAGTGCCTAGGATCTGGAACCGGCATCACCGCGGCAAAAAGGATTCGTCCCGGGAACCAAGCTTCGCCACCTGGACGTTGCAGGGTTCTACGTCCAAGGTGCAGTACAAGCAGGAAAGCCTTGCTGAGAAAGGTAAAGGGCACGGAAAACCCGGCGAACTACCTGACCAAGCGCCCAAAAACTGCAACGAGGTTGCGCAAGCTTTGCCATCCCTGGCCATGGTTGATCCCAACCTAGTCGCGGCAACCTCCGCCTTGGAGAGGCACTCGGTGAAGCTTGCGGGCGAACCCGCTGTTCCCCTTTAAGTTTTGTTTTAGCAATCGCTAGTGCCACCGTAACACAGCAGATCCTCGGAGTGAGGGCACAGCCGGGGAATGGCCACTTCAGGCAACCATGCTGTTGGGGCTGATGACCTGGTTGGTTCTCCTTTGGTTTGTGTGCCGAAGGGCAACGGGATGCTGCAGCCGAGCGCTGCAATGGTGGCCAAGAAGCCGGCAGCCGGAAGTCGAGCCCGAGGAGGAAACTGAGGCCACACCCTTAACTGAAGAACCGCCAGCTGGACTGGCGACGCCACCTACCGCTGTGGTGGACCTCTTCCGCACACCGGCGCGGGCGAGGCAGCCGCAAGACCTTCGACCACCAGCTCCCGAGCCGGAACCTCACGATGGGGATGCGGGCAGCGCCGCCGCAGCACAGCCTGCGCAGAGCGCGGCCACACCGCCGGCAGCGGCACCCCCGCAGAACTACAATGTGGAGATTCTTCGGGCGAGGCGTCGCCCGCAACAGCCAGGACCGCGCCTACCCCCAGCGCCGCAGCACAACTTTGCTGAGATGGATTATGCCCCCCACACGATGCACGGTTCACCTCTACAGGAATTGTGTGGGACTAGCCTCAGTACAACCCAGGGACATCATCACCGAAAATCTTTGCCTCACCTGCTGGGGCGGGATGATCATAGGAACGAGGCACGCGGATAGTTCGCACTTCCTCGTCGTAAGGGACAACTGCACACCACAAGTGTTCCCAACCTGTGGTGAGATGCGCGGGTGGGCTCGGCAGATTCCTACTTGCCATCACTGCCGTCAGCATCACTCCGTTCGTGATGGCTGAGCGGCTGGCCCCGCCCGTGCGGGGAACTCCGCCAACCCTTTGGCATTGGAGGGGGGTGCGAGAACCCTAAGGTTTCCGTAGTCCCACCACCCAAGGGCTTGAGCTATGGCTAATTACTTTTTGCTGTTTTGTACAGTACCACTGCGCACCGCAGCCTTTGTCAGGCTTCGAGCAAAGGGACGTCTGCCGTTGAGCCCCGGTAGGCCCCCGTAGGTAGAAGCCCGGTTTTTAGCCTTCGCATATTTGCACTTCGTCAACCACACCAGGGGCGTGCCTGACCCAACATGAGAGCGGAGGGCCAGAAATTCGGGCATGGTTTTCTTCAGATCCATGTTGCTCCGATCTCTGAAAAAACTTGTCTTGCGCACCTGGTTTGCCATTGTTTCATTGCCGAGGCTGTTGTTCCCCGGGTTCGGGGCACAAACCTGAGTGCGTAAGAGCAACTCGGGGGCACTCCTTGCCTTTCACAACGACCGAACCAGGGGTCAGCTACAGTTGAGCAATTTCTGCCCAAGAAGGTGGATGGGGATGCGCCAAAGCGCCGGCCAGAGGGACTGCCTCCGACTCTAAAGCAAAGCAAAGCAAAGCAAAGATAACCGTTTTTTCGAAAACAGATTTTGCCTGCCTTGGGGTGCTGTCACGGATGATGGGTAATTGTTCTGAGGCCACACCCCCTGTCGAACGGTGAACGGGTGTGCCAGTGCGATTGTTGCGGGTCAGAACAGGTTGCTTGCACTCGGCTGCAGGTGAGCATTTATGGAAGAATAGCATCTATGACAAAGAGCGCCGTGAGAGCTCAAAATGAATTATGGCTGAGGCAGACTCTTTTGTGAACCTTTTTTTGGCAGAGAAACACATAGATGCCTGCCCGGTCTGTCGGTGTGATTTCCCTGCGCACTAGGCATCTGATCCAGGTGCCCGAGCGAATCCTGCTGCACAGACCGTCGGCTGAGCGACATCGCCCCTTCCCGGGAAAAGAAAGCAACGACCAAGGGAACATCATTTATACTCATCTGCCGTTTCATTTTCTGTCAAGAAAAAGCATGGACTTGTGCTTGCAGGCTTGGACAACGAAGCTCCAATCTCGGAAGAAATGGGTGAGAAGTATTATCGCCTTCAGCGACCTTATTTCCAGGACCGGAGTTCGCACGGCAACAAGCACAACAACCCCAACAAACCTTCCAGATTTGTTCTTGTCAAAAACCAAGCCCGTGCGCGCTCACATCTGCAAAGGCCATTTTTGCAAAAATAACTTTTCCAGACGGTTTTTATAAAACTTGAATGTTGAAATTTAGCAAATGGTCGCCTCCTGTATCAGGAATTGGGATTGTGGTTTGGTTGATGGTGCATCCAGCGGTTGCCGTTCGAGGATCCCGCTGCAGTTTCAATGACAGACATTGAAGCAGGTTGGGTACCAAGCAGCCCGTCGTTTGGTTTGTGCAGAGCATAGACACACACACACACACATGGGCACCGTGCACCAGCCTGGCACCAATAATTTCACTAAATGAGTGATGTGTCGCCATGTTGAAATTGTGGATTCGTGCTCTCGGCCAAGGACTTGCTGTGGCATTTGTTTTGGTGGCCGGAGGTTTGGTGTGCAAAGACATTGTGGAGAAGACTCGGGGACGTCCCGTCGCGAAGCGTATCATCCACGTCTTCCATGAATGGCAGTTCGAGCCTTTGGATACTCCGCATGCAACTACAGAAGCTTTGTCAGCTTGGATGTACAGTTGGCGGCGTGCCGGATGGCACATCCGTGTGTTGACAACGATTGAGGCTCAGCACACTGAACTTTACAAGGCCATGTTGGAAGCTTTGTCGCAAGCACGTGTGACACATCGCAGCAGAGAGACTGCATGTTACTTGCGCTATGCAGCAATGGCAGCTGTTGGTGGTGGTTGGTTGGCCGATCTCGATACTGTGCCGACTTACCTCACCCCCGGCCAGGAGTTATCCAACAACGGTGATTTTACCATCTACCAACATGATTCAAGCTCCCTCATGTCCGGTACCAAGATGGAGTATGAAAGGATTGTTGCACAGATGATAGATGCGCTGAAATCCAAGCAGAAATCAACAGTGACGCAAAGCCCAGACACTTGTTCGGACCGCCTTGTGTTGAAGGCCATGGCGACGGATGGTTTGATTTCGACAGTGCCGCGAGTAATTCCAGCCAGTTCCTGGCCAGAGCGTGGGCCATGCACGAATCTGACGGATCCAAGCCATTTTGCCGTTCATTTCTCGCAAAGCTCTATAGAGGCCCTTGGGTATAAAGTGGATGCTCGTGGTGTCTTGATCAACAACACGATGAATTTTTTTTGGAAGTGCCGCCAGCAGGCCAACCTGCTGGAGCCGAGTTTGCACGCCTAGGAGGCTTCCATCAACTTGCTCGTTTCACCATGAGCTTGCCATCCTTCGGAAATTGCGAAAAAGACACCGTAAATTATGCTATTGCAAAGAAGAGTGCAACTAAGTGCCACACGGTTGGCCGTCACGATCTTTGGAGGCATGGATGGATTGTGTAGCATGCCGTGCTTGCGGACGATGCGTCCTTCAACAAATACTTGCGGGAGAGGATTTTGATAATTTTCTCAGCCTGCTTTGGTTCAACATGTGCCCTTCCACGCCTTGCTGCCGTCATGATCGTGGCGGCGATTCCGTGAATGAAAGGCCTGCCTAAGCATGTGCGCATCCACGCGGATCAGCGAGACCTTTCTCAGGGACGTACACGGGTAGGTGGTATGGCCCGCAACACGGCACAAGGTCTTAGATGTTGAGCGGCAGAGCAAAAGAGCATGCTGCACAACTAATGCACGTCCGGCTAGATGGCTTCAACTTTTATGACAAGTGCAATGTGACGGCAGGTTTCAATTCGTACTCTACCGGCTCGTTTAGCTTGTGGACTAGGCTTGGCTACTTGTTGTCAAGGAAGAATGTCCTCCTATGTCTCAAATGGCACATTATAACACCAAAACAAAAGCAGAAAGGATACAGGATGTGGTGCTGAGCTGCGGCCCAGCAGCTATTCGTGCTAGTCACCGCACATGCGGCGGTTGCCCAAGCGCCCACAAGACAACGAGCACCACACCCACGCCGGTGTCGGATTCGGCGCAGTCGGAGCAGCTTCGCAAGTTCCTTTGCTAGGATTTGTTCAAAGCGCTTCGCGCAGCAGCTTTGGTCTTAGCGACTCTGATGGCCACGGGCATAGCTAGCGGAAGTGCCGTCAATCCCGCTAAGGCATTCGGCAGCGCCGTGGTGATTCGGATGCATCTTTATACGAGCGAGAATCCAGCCCAGATCTCATTTTGCGGGGATGTGAGATGTGCTGAGCTGCGTCTTCTTGCGAGCGCAAGGCGCCAGCTATGCCACTCGACAGAGCAGCAGACGCCATTCGGGGGGCAGGAGACGCTTTGCAAGCACTCGCTTGAAAGAAGTGAGTGCAGCGCAGCGGCCAGGCGCTCGATCGGAAATCTCTTCCCGCTCACAGGCTTTTGTCTTGCTATGTGGTCTCTGAAGTCTTTCTGAACATTTTGAGCTTTACTGCAGGTGCCGGCAATGCAAAGCAGATGTTACACATTGCCTCTCGCATTTCGAAGGATGTGAACTTGTTGCATCCTGGCTTGAAACAGCGGAAAGTTTTCCACCGGATCCCCAACCACAGGGCCAGGAAGGCATTGTCTTTGCCAAGCCACGTCTCGCAGGTATGCAACCAAAGCAGCACCTCGGCTTTATCTCCACTATCAGCTTGGAGTTTCGAAGCGAAGCCCGAGGAGCTTGAGCAGCAAGCAGAGGAAGCTCGAGAACAGCAGCAGCCCCTGGCCCAGAGGGCCAAGCGGCAAGCCATGTTTTGTTGCTTAATCTGCGAAACTGAGGGCAGAGGAAAATGCGGTCGCCTTTACGACGAGCTTCATCAATGAGCCTGTTCAAGAGGCACTTCGCAGCGAAGTTTGTGTGCCCAATGCCAGCATTAGATACTCGTGCTGGAGGAGGGCTCCGTCCAGGCATCGAGTTGTCAAGTGGATGATGGGTTTCAGCATGATCAAGGGCGCGAATCTGCTGCGGCTGCCGCAACATGCAGGACAGCACAGGCAGCAGTACACCTCATTCAGAACAAAACGAAGAAGACAACGTCGTGGAGCTTGCCGCATGTCTGCAGCGCCATCGGCAGTTGCGGTGTGGCACAATCAATGACCAGCCCTGCCAGATTGACATAGGTGTTTTGGTTCTGCCGTGTCCAGGATAGTGATCTTGAAGACTATGACCATGAAGCAGCCGGAGAACGCATAGGTTCAATGCTGGACAACTTGAAGTGCCATCCACAGATCGTTGCAGTGTTTCGTGTTTCCACGGAGTTTCTAAATGTCATGTCGGTGCTGATGCTGAGGTGCCAAGATCGCATTGAGATCATGGAGACATGTCCGCAAACTGGGCACGGCCAGTTCTGTTACACTTGACATGTCTGCACTCAGCACCATTGGCCATCCCGCAGCAGCTGACCTGATGCCGTGCCGAGGACTCACTACACACTTTTTATCAAAACCGAAAGCAGATGGTGGACATAGAGATGGAGGAACTCGAGACTCTGGAAAAGGACTTCAACGACAGGCCGTGCAGAACTTGCGACGGAAGCAGGTGCCGACCGAACTCGTGTGTAATCGCAGGGATGAGGAGACCAAGGCCTGCGATTTCCGAGCCGAGGACCGCATCTCTGTGTCAGTTCCGTGGAGCGTCCCAGGAGTCCTCGAACAGTATGGTGAAGGCTTTTGAAGCGAAAGGCATGACGGAGGTACAAGTACTTGTCAAGCCGACAGCCAAGTCTTCGTGAGCAGTGTCTTCGGAAAGGGGTCGAACAAATCTATGAAAGTTGAGACAATTATGAGGTGTAGTGCGACCCTCCAAGCGGGTGCCAATGGCACTTTCCGCAAGCGGCAGAAGTGCCCCTTTGAAAGTTTCTGAACGATTTTTTGCCCTCATGCGTTTCTCACAGTTTTGCGGTTTGCGGTGTTGTTTGACTCATTGACAGGTTCTCGAAAGCTGCGAAGAGTAGAGCCGCACCGAAGAAGAAGGTCACCATGTTACAGGAGCCGGAAGAGAAGGAGCGATTCTGCACTTGTGCAGCGCAGGCAGCGCAGGCCTCCTTCCTCTCCGTCTCCCGCCTTCCAGGAGCCAAAAGCCGAAGCTGGCGCGGCGAGGCCCACGTTTTACGAGCTGTTCGGGGCGGACGAGGACAAGGTGCCGTGGATGCATGCAGAACCCTGGCGCAACGGCTCACGCTGCACTTCAGGAAGAGGTACCAGAAGAAGCACCAGAGGAGGAGGAGGACCCCTGTGCAACCTGCAATGGGCAGGTGAGATGGTTCTGTTTGGGAGCCATGCCCGCCAAGGAGCTACCTGAAGTCGTTGTAAATGAGGAGGCCTTTCTTTTGATGTCATGTGTCAGGCGGAAAATGCGCCAATCCAATGAACCTCTGGCCCATGCTCAGGACTTGAAGGATCAGGATGTTTGGGATCTGAATCGGGCTAAAGAGCTATGGAAACTTGGTGGCTAATAGTGAGTGGCAAGAGACACAGCATGCAAAAATGCCTTGGTCCTGGGCATGCCGAGGAGCCGGATGAATGAGAAGGCCGGGAAGGTGGCTGGCGGCAAAGGATCGGCAATCGAAATTCTGCAGGCATGCGGGCCTCATGCAGTCGGTCTGCTCGTGTGAGTCTTGAGCTTGTCGAAATCTCGCTTTCCAGGCGATGGTAGTGGTCCAGGAAGGCAACGCAGAGTTGCAGCGCATCTCGACCACACGAGACACCTGAGTCTACAGCGTTCACGAATGTTGAAGCGTTGTGTGCAAGGAAGATCCGAGCTAGCCAAGAAGGCAGCATCGAGATTTTCTTGAATCAACTGAAGCATTTCCGCAGGTTTCCATGTCTGCTGACGGCCATGCAGGCTACAGCCACGATGAATGCAGCCGTCGATTTTCTCACGCGCAATTTCAAGGCAGGCATAATCCTGGACTTCGACAGCCCTTCGCCGGAGGACTCTTGCCTTGGTGGTTGAGCGATCGGTTTTCATTGCAGCAACTCCGGTGCACGACATGTGTCTTGTCTACTCCTCAAAGCCGAATGTGAGGATGAAGCCATGGTGGCCCAGCTGCACCAGAAAGCTTGGCCTCCCCTTCCCCTCGTAGCATGGAAATGACATGTTCAGCGGTTGTTGCGCGACCAGAAAAACGAACTCGAAAGGGTACGGGACATTGTGGACTCATGCCAAGAGGCTTGTTTATGCTTGTTTGACCTAGTACGCCTCGGTGCGAAGAGCCCATCCAGGGTTGTGGCTGCGATCCGAGGTTGAGTATGTGAAAAGGCTGCACAAGAAGCTTTTCTCGGAAATCGATGTGGGTGACCTTGAAGACGTACCTGATGCGGAGGCACAGATCTGACATGTGGTCTTGGAAAGGATGGTGCATGGCTTCGCTAGGAGTTGGAAGAGGAATGCCAGGAGCTCGAAAGAATCCTCTCGGAACAGGAGAGGGACATCGACGCTCTGCCCAGATAGTTTTTGAAGCAGGGGCCTGGCCCGGCCTGGCCCGGCATGGCTTTTGGACCACCAAGGAAGCGTTTCAGAGGCAACGCGAAGAGAAGGAAAAGTCGCAGGAGGAGCAGTGACTTAGTGACTTAGTGCACATGCTGCATTTCATGGGTTTCTAGCCCGTATCAGCGGCGGAGTTTGGTAGTTGCTTTCCTCTGCTCTTCCTGTTCCTGCGGCAAAACAATCCATGGTATGTCATGGCAGGAGGAGCAGGACGCCAAGCTGGAAAAGCTGTTGGACGATAACCCCGAGCCAGACCTTGGCGAGGAGAATTCACGCCACTTGGTGACTGTTTTGTTGCACTGCAGTACCCGCGGTGCGAAGCAACTTGTGAATTGGTTCCGAGTCTTGCTCTGCGAGCTGATAGCTGGAGTTCCATTGCTACCCCTCCGAGGGGCAACAGGGGTAACAGTTTCTCGACGGGTACCTGGACAGGTATGGAGCGGTGCTTGCTTTCCTTGCTAAGGATCAGCTTCTAAGCAGAACAAATCTGCTGTCTTGGATGCGCGGCTGGAGGAAAGTTGGCTGCACAGATCTGCCAGTCGGCGTTTGTTCAGAAGCCTGGCGGCCTGGAGCGTGCCAGGGCCTCCAGATCCAGGGAGCTCAGCCGAAAGCAAGTGCTGCACAAAGGATGAAGCAGGCAGCCAGGCCTCACAGGGACTCCTGGGGTGGCTCTATCTCCATGTCTCCTTCCTGTCCGTGGCACATGCAGGACAGCGGCCGCCATTTCCACACTCAACAAGGATGCACCGGCTGGAAGCGCCGGAGCTCGCCATTTCCATTCGGTCGAGGATTTCAAAGATGACCCCAAGGCGCAGGGGTTGGGTTGGGGAGTCCGAATTCTCATGCTCCTCGCCCTTCAGGTCAGGATGCTGCGTGAGCACATTGCGACAAAGGACCCCTAGCCACTTTTGAATTCTGAAGGTTTGAAGGTTGAGGCTTTGCAAGAAATCCTTTGGTATTGTGAGGACGGGCAAATCGATCAAGCCCGGAAGCTTCTGAAGCGGATGCGGTTTGAGCGACGACTCTTGCACTACTGCCGGAAGAAGGCTGGGTCTCGTGACGGGGAGAGAGCAGGGCTGAAAAGCTCCTTTTCCCCCGCACCACATCCGGCTGCAGGCCAAGAAAGGATTTGAGAGCATCGTGCAGGAGAAGCTTGGCAGCACAGAACCAGACCCAGGTCTACACTTGCTTCCTGTGTCTTTTGTGCTTGCTAAGGTTTGAGCCACCTAGTCTTGACGAGATTCCATCTGCAGATGATGTTTCTGAAGAATCCGCCAGTGAGGAGGGCATCATGTCGTGTTGAGATGAAGCCAATCAAATTCGGCGCTGGAAGTTAGTCCCGCACCTACCTTAGCAGCCTTAGCAGGTGGAGCCCTCTGAGGAGGCGCTCGAGCCAGCAAAGGCTCCCGAGTCGGAGCCGTCTCGGCAACTTGGCTTCTCTGCCAGCATGACTTCTCTTTTTTTTCTTGAAGTTCGCGTGAGCGCCCCGCGAGTTGTTTTGTTTTGGGGGCTCCTCGAAGTATGCACCAGCATCTGTCACGATTGCCCATCCCGTATGATTGTGATGCATCCGGCTCGGGAGTGGGGGGCGGGGTGAATTTTGGCCTGGGCCGGAAACGGGTAGGGGTAGGAGGAGGGGGTGAGGAACTGCAACGACGAGGAGGGGAGCCCTGTTTGTTTGCACGCACGCACGCACGCACGCACGCACGCACGCACGCACGCACGCACGCACGCACGCACACACACACACACACACACACACACACACACAGTGTGTGTGTGTGAGTGATGGACAATTTTGTTCAACTGTGCAAAGCTTCGAGCGTGCGAACGTGCCACTTCGGAGTCAAGGAATCGTGCCAGCAGCTCAGCATCGCAGGTTTTGGTTACAGCTGGTATCTCCGTAGGACCTACAGGCAACCAACACGACGCCCTGGCATTCCTAAGCGCTGGCCACCACTACCAGCGTGTGCCCCTTCGCGTCTTCAGCCATTAGGCCTTGGGCCCACGGCTCAATCGCGCTGGCACACAAAAAGCGATAGTTGGGCAGCTCTGTACGTAGGATAACATCACTTGCGTGAGGTCTTCGGGCGCTTAGCCTTCGGCTCAAGTACCCTTGCGGATGAAGCCGGAGCTGCAGAGGAAGCCGCAGCTCCAGAGGAAGCCGCAGCAGCACTCGATGGCTCAGACGGAGCGGCTGGACCCTCAGCCCGAATGCAGCGTTGCACACAAGCTTCCACTTCGTCACGGTCGGGCCTTCCAAGGGCGCGGGGCGGGGGGAGGGGGCAGGGGTGAAGCGAAGGGCTTAATTATTCAGCTTTGGGGATGTCATTGCATTAGAACGTGAACCCTCGGTTTCTTTGGACTTACATAGCCTCAGCTGCTGGTCTTGCTCGCCAAACTTGCGCTGATGCATGTCCCACAAGCCCTTGATCACGACGAAGCATGCCTCTGCCTCCTGCATATTTGACCGTGTACCTTCCCACTTGCACGACTTGTACTTCTGCAGGCCAACGATACCATCTGAGAGTGAGAGGTTGAGGGCTTGGGCACATAGTTCTGGGTTTACGCACGCAGAGGAGATGTGATGTGTCTTGATATATGCTTATCAGGGGCTTTTACAGCACTCCGCATTGCTTCGCTAGAGGAAGACCCCAAGACCCTGCATCTACAGTTCAACTCTAGATTTAGCGGAGCACGAAAAGAGAATCTGCACAAAATGGAACCAAGCAGCGTTCGTAGTAGCCAGAGTACTGCGGCACGGCGGGTTGTCGCTTGATCCACACAGTGTCGCTGGTAGGCGGGAGCAGGCTGCGAAGTTCAGGTGGTGTGAAATGTTTCCTCTCCCAGCCTCCTCGTGGCTCGCCGCCGCTCTCCGGCTTTGGCCTGGCACGCTGCTTATCCAAGAGACGGTCCACGCATGCCTTGCGCATGCCTTTAGCAGCGTCTGCGTTCTCGGGGTCGAGATTCGAGATGACAGCAAGCAAGTCATCCCCACAATCGTCATCGTCCCGAGCGGCTTGTGCTGTAGGTCGGGTCGACGGGGCCATTTTGTCCACCATGGCTGCTTTCGCTTCTGCTGACTCATCCGGGAAGAGACGGTTCACCATGTCTTCTAGAAAATGCCGCTTCTTCCGGCCCTTGGAGGGCCCGGGGTAGGGCCACCGGCGCGACTGGAAGATGTGCATGATGTGCGGCACACTCAACCAAGCGCCATTTCTGACGGCATAGGAGAGCAGATCTTGCTCGTCGGGATCCGTCTGCGCAATGGCGGCTCCCGGGGAGCTCAACAGGTTGCAGCAGGGCGGGACAGCTCTGCAAATGACAGCCTTCCAAACATCTGCGACCCCGTCTGCCGAGTAGTTGAAATACCACCGCGGCAAGCAGGTCTGCTTGTCCATGACGAAGAAGACCTCAGGCTGTGATGTGAACGTGCTTCAAGCTACCGAACTACGCAGACGAAGCACGTGTCTGGTTGCACAGTCTAGGGAACGAATGACGACGGGCTGCTTTGTCGTCGACCACGTGTTTCCGCAGCGGTACGCCCTGAAGACACCACTTGAAGAACCCCAAAGATAGGATGTACTGGTCCGAACTCGTGTTGTGGAAGACATGCCCCTTCATCAGCAGGCAACCTGCTTTTGTCTGGGAGGTGAATCGCACACTTCAGGATTTCCGGAGGATATAACACGAGCTAGGCGAAAATCTTCAAAACTGTATTACAGGCTTGAGGGTTTAGAGGTTTAGGGATTGGGGACTATGCGCGGCTGAGACCAACCAACAAACAGCAAAAGAGGTTCGCCTGCCCAAGCTCTGGAGGCATTGCTCCACGCTGTCCGCTCATCATCCACGAGGTACATGGTGGCTGCAGTGGCCACTCGGTTGGCAAGATAGCCGGCCGCCTTCCAGTACCGCTTGAGAGCGGCAATGTCCTCTGGCCGACCGAGAAACTCAGGCAGCTGGTTCTTGCCAGGCTTGTGGATTGCTTCTGTGTCGGCAGTGGCTCTGGACTTGTCAGCAAAGGCTTCTTGAAAGGTGGGGAACAACACTGTCGGGCCGGGTAGATTGGCTGTGCGCAAGATAGGGGAGGTCGCCGCGTAGAAGTATTGTGTAGGCTTCGCCATGAAGCTGCGGCCTTTGTTCTGTTGCCGGACCAGGTGCTGGAGATGATTAAATTGATCTTCCAGAACGAATTTCGTAGACTGGGGCCCCCCGTAGAGCCTGAACGCAAACTCGATCATCTCCTGGTTTCGCGCAGACCAGCCACAGTCCTTCGTTGCTACAGGGCTGACGGGGGAGTATGTGCACTTGATTCAATGCCTTTGCAAATCGTGTGAACCTAGCCCCGTCCTGCCCCATCTTCATTAACTCGCGGGCTAGTTGGAGCTGAGGCCACGCCGCATCAGCGAGGCAGGTGTTCACATCGGCGTTGCCGACAACTTTCTCCGCTGCCAGGACTGCTTTCGCAATGCGTGCCATTTTGTTGCACATGCCCTGAGCTGCATCTCTGTTCTCATGCAGCAAACCTGCCGCAAGTTGGGGCAGTTGCACGCGGTACATGCATTCGGACCAGGCGCGGGCTGAGGCGGTCTCAGTGAGCATCAAGAAAAGACGCCGTGTCATCGCCAACTCCTCTTGCACCCAGCTGTCCTCCTCGCGCACTGGTGTTCGGCAGGAGAACATGCCGAGCTTCTGGAACACTTCTGCCGAATGCAGTAGCTGCAGCGTCTCCTGGATGCAACGGCCAGCCTCCCCTGCTGCCCTCGCTGCACTCCACCTAGCCAAAGCTTTCTGACCTGCTTGTTGAGTCTTCACGTCCCGGTGGTACTCAGCCTCCAAGGGCGCCAGAGAAAGGAAGATGATCCTGAGGCGTTTCTGCAGATCCCGGTCTTGAAGGAAGTCTGCACACATGTGCCACGAGTTGTGATAGTCACCTCGGAGAGCATCAAACTCCTTTTTGTTCAGAGGGTCCGGGTTCGCAGCATCTCCTGCGTTGCGACGCTCCTCCACCTGCGGCTGCTCCTGCTCCTCGTCAGGAGCATCCTGGTCTGCCTCTGGCTCCTCTGCCTCTGGCTCGTCCTGAAGGCAGCTAAGGCCAGGGCTGAAGATCAATTGGAAAACGGGTCGGGGGCGAGCAATGGACAGCGGGCGTAGGGAACTGCATCTGTCTTGCAGCTGCCCGCACTGGTCTACAACAGGAAAGCCAAGGGACTGTTAGGCCATGGGCCACCAATTCATTCGTGACTACCGCATTGACTGTCCAATTGAAGTCGTTCCTGCGCAAGCCTGCAAGTAGCGAAAACCAGCACTTGTTTTTCACCTTGGCATGGCAGGCTTTGGGTCAGAAAGCAGCTAGGGAGCCAGACGCAAACGCCACAACAGAAAGCCGGCAACCTGACAAGTCTAAGTTTGGAGGGCAGCAGGACAAAGACTAGGGCCACCGCAAGACCCCCCCTGTTGAGGCTCCGCCGGTGTGTGTCCCAGTTCTGAATCTCCTCAAACAAGGTCTCCTCGTTCCATTGCTCGGAAGGATCTAGACATCGATCGAAGACCACGTCGTCGAGGATGTCGGCCATGTCCAGCTTCGAGGCGAGCGCGTGCAGGATTTCTTCTTTGGTCTGGTGGTTCTTGCCTCCCAGGAAGTAGCCGTGGTTGATGTTCGCCATGAGCGTGCCCTTCAGGGCTGCCCCCTCCAGGCCCGAAGCCTTGATCGCCCTTTTGGCACAATTCCACGACGCGTGCAGCACCTCAGGGTCTGCCACGCCACGGAGCTTCCAGTGGTACAGAAGCGCGTTCAATAGCTTGAACCCCAGCGCCTCTTCATCAGGAGCCTCATAGCAAGAGATAGGAGGCATGCTCGTTAATATTCAAGACAAGGTGTGCAATTAGTTTGTTGTCCCAGGCACGGCCCGGAACATGGCTCTGGCATCCATGTCCGCTGGCTCCAGGACCAGTGGCTGCCCCGGGAGTAACACACGAGCGGGCTTGAAGATTTCCAAAGAGCTTCCTGTGGTAGTTGAAAATCCGTGCGCAAGCATCTGCAGCATGGCCTAAGCTTGCATGGTATGACTTGCTCAGATATCTCTCTCCCTCTCCCTCTCCCTCTCTGTCTCTCTCTCACTCTCTCTCTGTCTCTGTCTCTGTCTCTGCCTCTCTCTCTCTCTCTCTCTCTCTCTCTCTCTCCAGCATCCAACAGCGGAGACTTACTTCAGTTTTGACGTTTGCGGCTTGGCAGCGAGCATGGCTGTGTTGACCTTCTTCCCGGACCCCGACTCTTTTCGGCGCTGCCTGTGGCACTGTTATTTAAGTACAAGCACTGAGCGGGTCAGGCAGCGGGAAGCAGGACAGCAACGTGTCTAGTAAACCCCGCGACCTCTCTGCTACGACGGCCTTGGTCGTTTCGGTGTCTGCGATGTAAGCGGCAATCTCCTCAGAGGTGGTGCGGGGGCAACTCACACGTCTGTCCGCTCAGGCTGTGTGGCCTACGCAAATGCAGCCCAAGCGGAGCTTTTTTTTTGGGAAGCTTGGTCAGCAGTGGTCCGCAGCTTTACGTGCAGGCGGCACACACTTCAGACAACTGAAAGCAGGGAGACTCTGATATCAGAGAATGCTGCGCAGCTAGATATCGTATCTCAGAAGACGTCCCTGGAGTCCCCTGCTTCGCAGCGACGTGGCAGGAAGCCCACCCTGCAGCCGCGGGCCTCGACATTAAATAAAAACCTTAGAGTCACCGGGTAAGCGATCCTCCAGAAATGCCTAGTGTTCTCTGTAGCTGCTACTCCAAGACGAGGCCACAGCAACAACAGTCGCCGCTGCATTAGCTTCCCGAAGCTTCGGTTGCTGGGCAGGAGACAAGACAGTGATCGGAGCTGCACACAGTCGCAATGTACCTACAGAAGTGACACGGATCATTGCACCTAGAACCCCCTTCCCTGTCAAAGACAAAAAAAAAGCTTCAAGTAGGTTTCACTGATGCAGTACCATGCAGGCCGTAACCCCGTAGCACCCGAACCTCCTGATCCTGCCAAGGCATGCCTCCTGTCCCAGGTGCTGTGCTGGCTACCTGTGCACATCTCTGCTCGGGCTGCTCGGGGCACGTTCTCGTCAAAGCGACACGACTGAGCTCTAGACCCAAACCCTAATGCCACTACGACGTTCCAGCAGAAATGCCTGAGCCAGGTTTTCGCACCTTCTCAGACTCGCTGCACTCCGTGCAGCCGATAGCAAAACTTCCGCAGAAGTGATCACACGCAAGCACTGCAAGCCTACGAACATTTGCTGGGACTAGGGTTAGGGTGCAGGCTTGAGGGTATCTTGTAATCAAGACACTAGCCAAGCAATGTTGTTCAGGGGTCAGCAATGCTAGGTTATTTTGGTCTAGCGCCCAAACTAGAGAAGAGGTCTACCTAGAGGGCTTAGGAGGTGCCTTCGTGGGGATGATCTCGCAGAGCAGGTGCTACCTAGTCTGCACCGCAAAACGAGGGGAGGGGAGGGGAGGGGAGGGGAGGGGA